CCATGCTTTGCTTTTTCATTTGAAAAGGAATCGAGGGAGACATGGAACTCACTCTGCAAATTGATCTCCCTTTAGTTATTGTTGTGAAAACTTTGTTTGCTTCAGTGACATTAGCAAAATCCACGCTTACTGACTGTAGGTAGTTCAATACAGTACCATTCGGATTGGGCCTTATTTGCTGAAAACAAAACACCAGGAGAGTTGCGAAATACTTCACCTGACCTGTTTTTGCTGAAAATCTTCAATCAACAACATTTTTTTTCTTACGGGTTACTCCATAACCAACTGCAGTCAGTTTCTTTTGCAAGGTCTCGTTCCTCTTCGGCATACAAATTGGTGTTCCTTCTTCAGCTGGTATATCTCTGTCGAGTTCGATTATTGCCAAGTCACCATGAGGATCATAACAGGGATCAAGATCACCAAACTGCTGAACAAAATAGATTTTCCAATTATGAAGCACCGCTATTGAACAGTGTTTAAAAACACACTATACACTGCAAAGTTAATCTTTCCATGGATGTGGTCTGCAGCTGTAGTACTGTCTCACTCCCAACGCTTGGATGTGCATGGATGGAGCTGGAAAGTGGTGATAAGAGGATCTCCCTGCTCTACACCCATGTCAGTAAGGCGCGGCATGCGCATGTCCCTCATGGCGGGCGTATTGCCAACACGTTCCCTGCGGGGCCTGAGGCAACCAAAGTCCCGCAGCAGAGTTTTGGCGTAGACAGCGCTTAGACTTGATGACACGTGTCGACGCGCTGTAACGCGCGACACGGACCATCGGGAAGTTCTGACCGGTACCAATATGCCTGATTAGGCAACAAACACCCATCATCTCATTCCCAGCAGCCGACACGCATCGATCGAGCGTGCGCAGACAGGAGTCGACCGGCCGTCTGGCTGCGTTCGTGTTTATAGCTTCGAGGCGTTGTTGCAATTACAGCGCATTACAGCGCGTCACTGCGAAGTCACATACTTCGGGTCGTGCGGCGTGTTGCGTGCCTGGTGTGTACTTTGGTTGCGAGCAGGAACGCGATGGGAAATCCATACCACAACTCTCCAGCTGAATTGTCGCTTCATGTAGGAAACTGGTACCGTACTGCAGGAATGCTCACCTCACTATGGATAAGGTGGATCGGCACTATTGAACTATTCCTACCCCAAAAACTCAAATTTTTTTTCTCGCTGAAACGTTCGTCTATAGATGTAATTCGATGCCCTGATCACGAATATCACATTCGTTTTGAGCGCTGGCGCCATTTGGCGCCATGCGCCAATTTGGCGCCACCATCTTTTCCACCAAAATCGATGAAAACTTGTATCTGTGGGTTAATTGAGGTCCTGATCACGAATACGACACTGAATCAACTCTTTATCCATGATCTCACTAAAATATGTGGCCCTAACCTAATCTTAATCTCATATACAGGTTTTCACCGACTTTGGTGAAAAAATGGTGGCGCCAAATTGGTGCACAATGGCGCCAAATGGCGCCAGCGCTCAAAACGAATGTGATATTCGTGATCAGGATGTCGATTAACCCCCATATACAAGTTTTCACCGACTTTGGTGAAAAAAGTGGTTGCGCCAAATTGGCGCATAATGGCGCCAAATGGCGCCAGCGCTCAAAACGAATGTGATATTCGTGATCAGGGCATCGAACTACATCTATAGGCAACGTTTCAGCGAAAAAATTTTTTTGAGTTTTTGGGGTAGGAATAGTTCAAGTAGTGCCGGTCGACCTCGCGAGTGCACTGTGTCTTTACGAAGTTCTTATTCGACTCACAGCTTTCCCAATTTTGTAGGAGTTGTTTCTACCCATCTCTGGATGCACGTTTCTACTTCCAATATAGATTTCGAACAGGTCTATAGGCAGTTTCTTGTAAGGAACCTTGCCCATTTTTTGTGGACTTCTGTAAATCATTTCATAGATTATTATAGTAGGAATATTTTTATCTGCATGATACTCTTACAGATAGCAAATGAGAGTCCGAAACGGAACACTTGTGTCAGACAACCATCTGATGGCGGGTCAAATGATGAGATGGTTGCACTCCTTATCACTGAAGTTTGTCGAGGCGTGCCCGCTGCGCATGGGTTTTGGCACGGCGCCAGCCCGTGTGCTATCGATCATTGTGGTGGTTCAATGAGTGGTAGAAAGGGGCAGGCGCTGTGCCAAGCTCACGCCCCGAATTTCTTCAGTCATAGAGAATCATGAAACAGTCGCGCAAATGTTTCTTGAATGTTACTGTAGAAATCTTAAGGAATCTGTCTTGGTTTGAGTTTCGAAGAAAATTGCAGAGGTGATTTGTTTACAACAAGCGGCCCCGGTTACGGTTGGAAAATGGTTGGCTGAATCCTACTCAGCTCAACCATGAGCTCCACAGGGCTCAACTGATTTAGCGATTTCTGATAAGCCAGTGCCTGCTTTTTTTTTAAAGGCAGAACCGCGATTATTCGCCATCTCAGATAGTGGATTAGGGGGTTCCATATAGACGACAAGGGGTTGAGTAACTCGACAGTGAAGAAAAGCATAAAAAAATATGCCATCTGCCCTAGAAAGACCCCTTTTACCCCATTTTGATCCCAGTTTGTACGTGCCCAATTAACTCTATCTCCCACACTACGCCCTCATACGCACAGCTGATTCACCGATAAGAACTCTACGATCGTACAAGTGACGATTTTCATGCTTTTTCGTCCTGCAATCTCGTTTTTCACTGAAAGCCGGGCTGGGGGCGGAGTCTGGAGGAGTCACTGGAAAAAAAGGAGGCGTCACTGAACTATATTGCGCTATAGCGCCCCTCCCTTACAATTTTTTGCCGCGAAACCGGTACAAGGTTGTTCGTCGCGGGCCACACTACCCTCCCATATCTCTATCTTCTATACCTGATCGCGGACCGTACCTTCAAAGTCGTAGAAACTAAAGACAGTTCTAGATACATCGTGTTTTACTGAATGGCAGGAAGGTGAAATTTTTCTGGAAAACACACTTTTTTATTACAGTCAGCGGGATTTGGGACCAAGATATGAGATCTTAGATGGTAATGATTCTTCTATGGTGAAAAGGCAGGACAAAAGAACTGAGGGAGGAGGCAATTCCGATCTTGCGGATCGCACATTTTACAAAAGAGAAAGATTAGCAAAAACTAATCAAGAAAACGAGTATTCTTGAACGAGTTCTGGGGCACTCGTTTCATTTCCGTTGCGCGGCTTGAGTTGGAGCAG